CGGACGAAATCTTCTCCGTTTATGCCGTGAAATCAACTCGTGTGGATCTGGCCGGGCCCATTCATGGCAAATCCGAAAAAATCAAGATAACGCGCGTGTTCCAAGCGAGCACCCCCGCGGGTTTTTGACCTATTCGTGGGAATCGTACTTGGTCGCGATCGCGGTCACAATAGACTCGTCTCATGGACACATAATTTAAGTATACAATATGGACAGGTAATTTTGTCGAAAATCGTAAAAACAATGGTGACCACCGGGAGACCACAGCAGAGAAGAGCGGGGAAAAAAAATGAAATTAAAACGACTGTTACCGCGGTGAACTATCATTTATATACTTAATAATAAGCCACCGCATACACGTGTTGGTAACTAACATTATTGTACTCTGAACGAATCCGGGGATCGAAACCAAAATCGCTCTGCTCCTAAATTTGATCCTTTCATGTACCGCAAGCTGCAGAACGGAATACAGAGTTAGCTACCCGTTTGTCGGATGTGCGCACCAAAGTCCTGTATTATGTGTGTTCTATAATAATAGGGAGTCCGGATGTAATTCAGTCATTGTTACAATGCTCCAAGACGTATGTGCACAAATCAAAACTGGTTTCAAGTATACGTGTGTAAGTGTGTGTGTGTGTGTGTGTGTGTGTGTGTGTGTGTGTTTGAATTGGAAAATGAATGGCCTCGTTGATTACGAACGTATTGACATTTTCCTGAAACGAAATCACGGATTTTGTGTTGAATTAACGTTGCATTTCATAAAAAATATCGAATACCCAAAATAAATCATTACTATTATTATCGGGTGTTTCTATTTTATTTATTTTTTCGTTAACATTTTACCGTTATTACTGTTGTTATTATTATATTCGTGTGTCACATAATAATATTTGTCCGTTGTCGGCCGTCCCTCAGAAGAAATCTCGCTAGGAGAATTAATATAATAACCCACCGCACTCAGGCTTTTGGGGCGTATTCGTATTTACTCCATTTATTATCGTCTATATGCGTCGTATCCCTTTTCCGGTGGTGGACCTATTTGTATCATTATTTTTACTTCTCTCTCTCTCTCTTTCTTTCTCTCTCCTGACGTGTACGACGAATTATCATCGCAGTCGTTGTGCACCGCGCATTTATACGAAATACATGTTTTTCGTTGCGAGTTAAATTCTCGCCTGCATAGTGTGCGCCCCTCCGACCGTGTCTATGGACAGCTTCACTGCATCAACGGCTGGCGAAATCGTTCGGACATCGAATCTTTCGGCCCACTAACCGCGATGGGGTGACCGTCGAACTGCAGTTTATTGTACCGATCGACGGAATGACACACTGTTCGACGGCTTTCCGGTCTTAATATAATATATTTGTATACGTGCATCCGATCGTAATTCGTTCCGACGATAACCCCGGCCGAGTTATAAAACTCATTTAACTGCAGTGCACACGCGCGAATTATAACTGTATGACGCACGAAACATCGAACGCGGTCGTTATAAATTGCGTTTTGCAAACGTCGATGTAAATAATACGTAATCAAAGTTAGACGAACTACTTCGATCTAATAGTTCATGGCTTCAGCATCTTGGTGTCCCTTTTTTTACAAATCATAATATACGAATCGTAACGGCTGCTGACTATTAATATTAATTAATTGTACATCGCAACATAGTATTACGGTAACTATAATAATGTTTTGAATATAAATAGGGGTAGTACAATAACAATAATCATTCAAAACGTTTCAAGCTCTGCTCACTCATATTGTTTTGAAAACATCATTGAACTATACGAGTTGGAACGAAGTTTTTAATTTAAATTTTTTTTTTCGTGCCGCCCAATAACGATAGCAGCCTTGTGTTTCAATTGTTGTTTGAAAACAACTCGATGTAGTAGTGTATCTTTTGGAATTTTCCGTAAAAACCGACAGTTTATAAGAACTACACGCATTACCCGGATATCACAACCAAAACCAAAACAGTATTTAACCATATCGACTATTTCATTTGTCGAGTTGTGAATCGAAGATGGTCGAAAAAATGGTTCGAGGATAGCCGTCTAACTTTGGCGGCCACGAACCGCAATATTTCGCGCGCACATAGGCGGTAAGCGTCGCGGTGCGCGTAATATGCATTGTACGTTATAAATGTATTTGTTTCGCGTGAAACCGTATGTTTACACACGTACAGTGCAGCGACACAAGGCCGTGTGACGACGACGACGTTATTTTCGTTTCTTAACGTTTTCCCCTTATAACTTTATAATACGTTTTCTAATTTATATAAATACATAGTACAATGCTACGTTGAATAATGAGTCGGCAAGGACAACGGGCGGCGGCGAAACGGCCGGATCGACTCCCGTATAAGGCCGGTTCGCAGGTGCAGCTTTCTCATTGGCCGCGGACGGATGCCGCGCGGTCTCGACGATCGTTGTAACACGTCTCGCGCGACTCTGCGGATAGCAGAAAAACACGCGTTTCCTCGGCCAAGCGGTGAGGGTAGCTATGGTCGCGGTCACGTGTATCTGGGGAAGGGGGGGGCGCACACTTCCATACATCACCCCGGTGCTAATATCTCATAACGTGGTGTGATGCACGCGCCGTCGAAGTGAACCGATTTCCGCGTCTTTGGTCCAGGGGAAGTATTGACATATACCGACGTACCGTGTGGCGCTGACCTGGACGCATATGACTTGTTTTTTTGTTTCGCGTGAAATCGGAACTTCAAAAAATACAAAAAAAAAAAAAAAAAAAAAAACCTTATCCCCTCCGGTAGACTGGACAACATACCGCGGGTAACGCACCGGCCATTGTGTGGCCTACGGATAGGTACCCCGGCGACGACGGATGAAAAACAGTACGCGCGCGCGGAGAAGACACCACGCGCAGCCGACGAAACACAGCAGAGAAAGTCCGCCAGGAGCGGAGACGGTCGGCGGCAGCGGACGGCCGCACGAAGAATTCAGTTTCCATACATGGCGTTTGCTTACGGTAAAATCAGTGGCAACGGCAGGCAGCACGACCATGTGTGTAAATTGTTATAATGCGTATTATTATTACCTTACCGGACCAAAGACGTTTTATTCTGTGTCACGCACGCGCACGCACGCACAGATGCTGTCTCTGTAAAGCAAATAGTACGATACGTGTATTATATTTTTAACCATATGACGTGACGATGACTTCAACGCAGAGACATAATGAGGATGTTGACGTGTCATCGTCGCGGCCGTGCTCGCGCTAAGGCCAGGCCACGACGACGTTTTCTGTACTTAGCTTCCGTTTCGTCTTTGCTCGAAGGGGGTTTTCGAAAAAAAAAAAAAACGCAACAGCTCATAAATTTTCGCGCGCGAGTCGCGATTCTGCGGCGCCTGTAATAATAAAACCACAAAACCACATTTCATCGCTACACAGAAACCGCGATAACATCACGAAGTCTTTGCACTCAAATTAACATCTTGCCGCTCACCAATACAACTATATATATATATGTGTGTGTGTGTGTGTGTTTACAATTATATTAAATATTTGTAACATAAACGTGATAATGTTTTTATATTAAACGTACGCACATTTTTTCACAACCACTCGAGTTACAACACGATGTTTGAAAATGTCCCTACTAACAACGCACAATACGACGTTATGTATTAATTGGAACTAATTTAAAACTGCAAACGACGACCTTAGTTAACAAATAATTAAACTCGTCGAAGTTGCATAATTAATCGCAATAAACCCATACGGTGTAGTTAGTCGTATAGATACAATATGCAAAGAACACACGACCTGCCCTATTAAATACGACTATGAGTTACATAAATAGGCATATATGTCTTTAGAAAGTATATGCCACCGCGGTATGTAGATACATTTAAGTCCAATATGTTTTATATTTGATAGCATGTCTGCGTGTTTATGAAAATAAATGTAATACCATTTATAATATTCAAAGTTTTGATCAATGTTTCAAATAATATCAATACGCGAAAATACTCAAATTTTCCTTATTGTTTGAAGCTTAAATTAACGTTTAAATACCAGTGTTTAAGTAAAACGAACAATAAATTCGTTTTATTTAATTGCGTTTTTTATTTTAACTTGTAAAATGGTGGTTGTCTATAGGTGAAATGAGGCGTAGTACATTCCTCAGAGATGAAATACATTTTAATGAGTATTCCTCGGAATGTTGAGTTGAGAGGTACACAATGATGACAGTCACATATTATACGTAGTAGATTAAACACAGATGGATGGGTTCAAATAAGTATAACGATTGTGCATATTACCGATAAATGTTTGACGCGGGTCGTTAAGTGAAAAAAAAAGACGTTTTAGTTCTCAAAACGATGACCTTGTAAAGGAATGCATTAGTTACTTATTTGTTACTATACTTTTTAAGTAGTCGTATATGATGTATTATTCTAAATATATTGTGTGGCTTCTTGTTGATCGAATTGTTTTTTTTAAAACCGAAAGGAATTTATTGAACTGTGTTTAAAACGTCAATTAATTTAGTTCGTATAAAAACAGCGAGTCTAATGATTAATAATCTTAATATTTACAAATTGAATGTCAAATCGTTAACATTAATAAACATAAATTGATGGCGACAATTTTGATTGTTAGATATGACGTTGCTCGCATATAACTCGTGAAAGTTTTGAATCGTAAATTGACTTATCCAAATGCGATAATATAGAAAATATTAATACTACTTCTTCTACTTCACAAGGAAAATGTTCGAGCTTGAACTTTCAGTAAAAAATTTAATATCTTTGTACATGAGAATAGAATTGTACGTATATGTTCAATTAGTAAACAGTAAAACAGTTATTCATAATTATGACGTTGGGAACGCAGACTTTTTAATTACGTCGTCCTAACGAAAGTCACCTTGTCCCGCAAATGAAATATGTATAGAAACGATAAAAAAATTATAAGATTGCATGCAATATTTTATAGACATAACTAATTTCGAAAACGTCCGTTTGTTACACAGATATCGCTATGGACTGGTCGGATCACGCTCTATGGTGGCCTAATCGCAATTCATGGCTTACCAGGACACGGTCAACGTTGGACCAATACGGAGTTCAAGCAGACGCCAAGCTGCAATTTACCAGAATGCATAAAACTGCACGCATCCAGTTGCCCGATCTCCGGTACGTGGATATGCGCGTGGATTTTTCCATTAAAACGTTCAACGCCGTCATACAGATATGCAAAGAGCTCAGTGAGTATTTCTTTTCGTGGCATATATATTATTTAATATTATGTATGCTATAAAATTATTTATTTTAACAAAATTTGTTATTACTTCGCGTAGACATCAGACACCCGGAAGAATTGTCCCTGAGTAAGCCGCTGGAAGCCTATCACCTGAAGCACAACATGAAGGAAATGCAATATAATGGTGGTCAAACGCCTTCGGCCGATACCAATTCATTTTCCGTAAACAATCATAGCCCGGCCGGTTCCACGGGCAGCCTGGACATGACGTCTTCTTCGCCGTTCATATGCGCTCCGCTAAAGCATCATTCTACGCCCATCAGTTCACCGGTGTCTGTTAGTATTGTATTATATTTACCGCAATCAGCTGCAAGTTTGTTTGGTATATTTGATTTTTTTTTTTTTTTTTATCGTTTCATAGCAAAACGGTACTTGGAAAAAAGGATACAGTAAACCGGAAATGAATGGTAACGTCACGTCATTGGAAATGCTGAACGGATCGCTCGATACATCGTTGGCCAACAGCCCGTTTTCGCCAAACCAAGAGGTGCGAAACAAAGTTCTAAAACCCAAATCGTTGGTGGAAAAAGCTAGAATGAATGTAGCGTAAGTATAATGGCTTCGTAGCTTTTAATAAAGGTAGTCACACTTTATTTATAAAATGTTGTTTTTTTCCAATACAGATGGTTAGATTCTTCATTGTCGATCATGGAACAAGGTGTCAGGGAATATGACTTATTGAAATTACGGTTCAAATTCTATTCTTTCTATGATTTAAATCCCAGGTTAGATGCTGTGCGCATCAATCAAATTTACGAACAGGCTAAATGGAGTTTACTTAGCGGAGAAATCGATTGTACTGAGGAGGAAGCTCTTATGTTTGCTGCACTACAGGTAAAACAATGTTGCAATAAACTCGTCACATTTAATGGCATGGTCCATTTAAAAATATAAGTTTTTAAATTTTATCAATATAAAATTTTTGAAAGTTCGATTAGCGTGATTTGTTTCTTTTCACTTCAGATAAAACAAATAAAATCTATCGTATACTAAAAGAACGATATTAAAACATTTCGTTATACCAATGACAACACTATGTATATGATATTTTACATAAAATGAGTTTTTTCTATCAAAATATTTGTTATCTGCTTGCGCACAAAGTATATTTTCTGTACAATAACCTAAAATTAATTATTTCCCCTCCAAATTGGATATATTATTTAGTATTTTTATAAAAATCAACCATATTAAAGCTCTACTCAATAACACGTATCTCATAAAAATTTTAGTAAATACACTAAATTTTAAACAGCAACCAAATTTAAACTTGATAAAATATGAGATGTATAATATTTGTTAATATTTATTCAGTTTTTTTCACTTTCCTGAGCATTTGGTGAAATGTTGACATATGGTATTGTCATTAGTGTAACTATTCGTAAAAATATGTGAACAAACGTATTAATATTTTTAAATTTTAGGTTCAAATAAATTTAAAAGCAAGTGTGCCACAACCACTTATTGAGTCGGCCGGTGGAGATGACGATATTGATGCTGCTTTGTCAGATCTTCAAATTACTCTCGAAGGGTTCCAACCTCCCAGCAATATGGCCAACTTGAATCACGCACCAGAATTATCCGACTACTTGCGATTCTTGAAGTGAGTATATATTAAGCACGGTTCAAACGAAACACTTGAAATGAGTGGAATAAATAATTTGTGATTTTTCGTAGACCCAAGAAATTTACACTGAAAGCATTCAAACGGTATTGGTTCACTTGTCGAGATTTGCATTTGAGGATGTACAAGTCGGCGGAAGATTTCGAAGTCGGTGCTTTGCCCATACACAGCGTCAGTCTGAGGGGATGCGAGGTGACGCCTGATGTGAACATATCACAGAACAAGTTTGGTATAAAACTGGAAGTGCCAAGTGCAGATGGCATGACCGAAATGTGCATCAGATGCGAAAGCGTAAGTTTCGGGATGGATACCCGCTAAAAAAATATTATTGTGTTATAAAATTACCAATCACAACTTTGTCCGCCGTTCAGGAGGAACAGTACGCTAAATGGATGGCCGCGTGCAGACTGGCGGCTAAGGGGCGCCCGTTGTCCGATCACACTTACGAGTCCGAAGTGAAGTCCATCAAAGCGTTCCTCGAGATGCAACACCCGTCGGTCACGCAGTCACCGGTCATCAGCCCGTCGTCGTTGGACATTGCCGTCGAGGATTACGTGCCGCACAGATATTCCAAAAAGCTTAAGGGAAAGGTGCGTCAATCAGCACGTTAATTGATAACGTGATGACGAAATAACTCGTCGATGCTGTCGAAACGTGACATGTTTTCGTCCGGTTTTTTGCGTGTTTCATTAATTGTTTTCATTTCTATCTGCCAACTCGCAGCTGGTCCAGCGCATTCTCGAGGCGCACGCGAACCTAAAAGACCTCACTCTGATGGAAGCCAAGATGAACTACATCAAAGCGTGGCAGTCGCTGCCCGAGTTCGGCATCTCTCTATTCGTCGTCAAGTTCATGGGTCACAAGAAAGAAGAGCTCCTGGGAATCGCGTACAACCGATTGATGCGCATGGACATCACAACCGGGGATCATATAAAAACTTGGAGATACAACACGATGAAGGTACTGCATTTGCGACGACAGTGCTATTGACGCGTCGGTAGATTCGGTACGGTTATTAATGTTTTACGTTTTATTTGCGTTCAGGCGTGGAACATCAACTGGGAAGTGAAGCACATGATGGTGCAGTTCGAGGAGGGCAACATAATATTTGCCTGTCAATCGGCCGACTGCAAGGTGATTCACGAGTTCATCGGTGGGTACATATTCTGTTCGATGCGTTCCAAAGAGGTGAACCAATCGCTGAACGAGGAACTGTTCCACAAACTGACCGGTGGCTGGTCATAAACTGATGCCACGTAGCGCGCCGCGGAGACGAGAGAACGAGCGTCGTCCTCGTCCTTCGTGGTTATAACAACACACACCCTGTAGACGGGAGCAAACGAGATAACGTTTTATATGTACATAATATTACGCGTGTGTTTACTTATGTACTTTCTTCCCGTGTTCACCGTACAACCTCGGTGACGGCAATTCATTATGATAAGTGCATAATTTAGGAAATCTGTTTATTTCCTTGTTTTAATTTAATTTTTTCTTTCTTTCATATGTTTTATTAACAAACGACGTCGAGTATCTCACCCGCTTATTGGTATATTTATGTACAACGTTTTAAAAACGAATATATTATTATTATTGTTTATTTTCGTTGTGTAATATTAAAATAAAAAAAAACAACAAAGTATTATAACATGTAAATCTAATGTAATTTAATATTGTGTTTTAAGAGTACTAAGAAGTACGATTTTAGTATAAAAACAGAGCTGAATCGAGCTCGGCGATTTGTAATACTCGGTAAATAGCAACGAACTGCTAATAATAATAAACTGATTTTACTATGTGAAATGCTAGCAGACCGCTAAAAATTGATTTAGACGAATAAGATGTGTTTCTTCCGTTCGTTTGGATTCTGTACGATCGTTAATGACTAACAGTAATGCTACGTATTATAATATAATAATATTGTTTAGGATATTCTGCGATAGTCGTTACATTATTAAACGTGAAGAAATGTATTATTAAAATTATTATTATTATTATAACTTTTACCATATTATTATTATTATTATTATTACTATTATTATTGTATAACACAACCGAAGGCGCGGAGACACGGGCCGAGATTGTTTAAATATGTATTAAGACCGTTATCATTTTGTATTTGTTCATTTAAATTTTAAGCTACAAATTAACAGACAGGGATAGTAATTATTTTAGCATTATGTTTCAACGGCATAACTTATATTATTTTATACACACTAGTTTGTTGTGTAATGGAAATTTTTTGACTTAACAGTAATATTGTGTTGAATATTCATACTTAGATGTACACTTGATTAATAAGTGCCGTATATTAAACGTGTATACGGTACTGCATTATTTATACATGACACTTTATTATGTATATGCATAAATATGTGTTATAAAATGGATAGAGAAGAAAAATTATTTGATGACTAAGCACCATAAGTGTTTATAAAAATTGTTTTTTTTTCTTTTAAATTTTACTATTATAATACAGATATAATATTTTATTTTTAGTTCATAGGCATAATTTTATAATTTAAACGGTGCTTTATACCAAAATCTTCTTTATAACACTGTTATATAACATTGTAACTTAATTGTTGTTGTCCTAATTTTGTTTTAGTTTGTGATTTTTTTTTTTTGTAAATATTATATTATTTTATTTTATAATATTATGTTGAAAAACTTCTATTAAAAGGAACATCAATTAACATATTCAAAAGTATTTTTGAACCTTGCATTTTATTAATACCAACTCGTGTGTCGCGGTAATTAAATATTGTCATCTGATATCTATTATCGCGTATAAACCAATTATCGACCTACCAAACGAATTCCAAAAATAAAACGATTAAGTACTTAATACGTTTAATTGTATTTAAATTAATACGTTTCTTGATCATAATGACGTGTTGTTTGGATGTAATAATATTTTTCAATAAGCCAATGGTTCATTTCACGTTATAATAGTTACTTTTATTTTTGTATAAAAAAAAAAAAAAAAAAAATGTATTAAAATATATTGCTCGCGTGTTGCCGTTGAAAATATTGTTAATTCGACTATGTGCATTTAAAAGTTCTGTCGTTCACGAATGAAACTGTTCGAAATTCAAATTCTATAATAATCTACGATTCGCTTAATTATCACGAAATTATTTAAAATTAAACTATACACATTTTATAAATTAATTGCTATAGGTAGAACACCGATTGAAAATATATATATTTATATAAAATTTTGTAAGAACTGAACTTGCACAAAGTATATTTTTTTCTGTCTACAAACGCTAAAATGTTTATTGTATTGTATTGATGTATAAGATATTGTAAATATATTTACATGGAAGTAAATACTAACGAGAACCTATGGGTACAATTTGTGAACAAAAAATTCTTTTAAATAATTGATAAGATACAAATGTAGCGTAAAAAAAATCCAATAAACTGTATTTATAATATTTATGTAAGAATCCGATTCCTTGATATGTACATTTTTTGTTAAAAAAAACCCCTATCAAGCATGGCCGGTAATGTTTCTGATGGTATTTTATACAACTACATCTGAATATTGTCATACCATAAGAATTATTTATTTACGTTTATTTGTAATTTAATGGAATCAAAAAAACTCACTTTTAATTGTGAACGTTTAGAAATTATTTCATTGTGAAAAATTCAAAATACCGCATTGTTAATATCTAGGTTCATTTATTTTATTTATATTCGTTTAAACTTATTAATTATATATAATAGTATGTACATTTTTCGAGAATTCAACTCTAATAAATAAATAACTAACCAATAAAAATGTATCTAATTGTTTGTCGATATGTGTTCTTATAATTGATTAAATCGTAAATGAATTAATGGTATTTTAATATCTTATTATAATGCATTAAGAACGTGTCTCCGAGGAATAACTTAAACGATTCAATATGTACAACCGTACGAGTTCTCGCGAAAACCAACCAACATTATTATTATGTCTGTGTGTTTTCTTGTACATCGTTAAGTTATAAATATTACGTTAGCCTATAATACGTATGATAATATATGAATAATGAAATAGAAGATCACTGATGTGAGTTAACTATTAAAGAATAATAAGTGCTTAAAATTAAAAGTAAAAATCGGTGTGCGCGTAAATAAATTGAAACGTAATACACATGAAGATTTACGCACAAATTAGTTTTACTCTATTAGTTTCATACACTTGAGGCTGAACATACCACTCTCAAACTGTTAAATTCCGTTGGGTCGCGTCACGTATATTAAACATAAATTAATATTAATTTTACCAATTTTTATCAGCTTTACATTTTTCAACATACAAGACGTAATTACTAGCGTATTTCACCTTGTAAATATTACATAACACTTTTAAAAAATGGTAAAACACATACTGTTATTGTATTAAATCTACATATATTCATAGCAATGTAATATAAAAAAAATACATACACATAGATATATATGTATATTACTAATATTATCCTTATTTATTTGATACATATTTCCATATAACTTTTTCAATACAATATAATATTGTAGTATACGTAATAACTAATAAGCATATTTAATGACATAAATATACAAATAAAACTAAACATGTACAATATAATATAAATAAAATCTGAGATGAAACCCCTTTTTTTTTTTTTTTTGCTCCAGACTAGTATAAAACCGAACTATTTTCATCGTTTTTTCCAGCCGAGCATTGAACTAACGATAGGTTTTTAGTTTGCATACCTCTGGCCAATCTTGCATCAAAAATTTCTGGCAACATACAGTTCATATAAAATAATTTTAATTTAGGCAACATGATTTCATTCCATAGTTGTAAATCTTTATAAATCCATTCAACATATCATTGGCCAATGTATATAAAACAAAAGCACATTTTGATCTGTTTATAATATTTAATCACCCTTGAATTTGCCAATAAAAAGAATGTTTTTTTTTTTTTAATCTTAATTTTGAATCAAATTCTTCTAAACAAAACGATTTTTTATCTCTAACAGCGTCAAGTAAACTTTTATTTTCGATTGAAGGTACACATTTTACTTCTATAATGGCATCATTACCTATTACATAATCAGGACTAGCCCCTAAAAAAGGGTGTTCGCTATCAATAAAAAAAATCACATTTTTAAACAGTAAGAGAAGTTTTTTTTTCAAAAATCTCGATTGCTTTGTTTTCGTATTTTCTTCCAAATTCGATATGTTTTGAAATCAAATTTTTTGGATAAAGCAGTATTTTTATTAAATTATGACAGTGAGTTTTTGATCGCCTTGTAATTATAGTTCCAAAATGTGATGTAGTCAAACGATTTTTTTCGAATTTCATGCCATTCTATATTATCATTTTGTCCTACTGTTTTTTTTTTCAGTTGCATTAATTAATTGTTGATTTGCTGCTTCATTATTAAGTTTTTCCATTACTAAATTCATTCTCAATTGTAATTCTTCTTCACTAATATCTAATTCGGCTGCATTTGGATCATAGTCATAGTCGCCTGTTGTCTTACTGAAGACCAACTTTTATCTTGATTTATTATTAATACCATTTTGTCTTTTAGCGGCTATAATTTTTTTTCTGTTCATATTAATTTTGAAATATTTACCAGGACTTTTTCCGATCATTTTTTTCCATGGGCTGTTATGCCAGGTTGGACCATTTGAGTAATTTTGGGAAGCAGCCAATACACGTCTTTGAAATTAACCATTTTTCGTAAGATTAATTCGTTTTCCTCCATTACATTTTGCCACTAAACTCATAAAATTTTCAGCGTTGTTTGTAGTGGTATTGTAAACTAAACGATCAGATTTTCTGACTACTATTTGTTTCAACCATAAAATTAGCACTTCCCATGATAGGCAATAAATCAGTTTCTATATCGTAATTTCTTTTACAGTAAAACGGTCTGTAGTTTAAATGACGGCCTAACACGTGGTACGGTGCGTTTGTTAAATCTTTTCGTAGCACTTGAACGTTATTTGTTTTAGTACATTCTTTTATAGCTGTTCTTATTCCTTTAACAAAACGATCGATAGACAAAGGTAAGCCCCGTCCAAGTAATTGATGACATCTGAGTGAATAGTGTTTATTAGAAACTAACTTTCGAAGTCCATCGTGTAAGTTTCTTGTAATGTGATTTGCACATTCCAATTTAATAACGTCTCTACCGTATGACATTTTTTCGATAATTCTTGTGTACACACTTGAATCACCATCTCCAATGTAATATTTGTACATTATTCCATGTTGCTCAATATTTTTTTTGAACCTTTGTAATTTCGATAACAGATATGTTCAATTGGTTTGTTCGATTTTTTAGCTGCCTCATAAGTTCTATAGTATTTATTTTTTACAAATGTATATTCAAAGACTACCAAATAATATTATAATTTTATGATTTTTAACATATAAGTTATAACTAGAGCCCGGATTTATATGCATTTAAAAAGTATCAAATATGATGCAAATATGCAAAGAAAAAGTAGCTAAATATTCAATTATATGCATTACGTTACACTTTATAAAATGTGATTTTATTTTTTTTCAAAACCACACTTTTATACCAAATAAAATTCTAATTATTTTATAAAAAAAAAAAAAAAAGAAGATACATTATAAATTAT